CTTCTGACTTATGACAGTGGTGGCCTTACACAGCAGTGGGCAAAGGATAGTCTTTTAAATTACTGGACATATGAATATTCATATGGAAAAAAGTAAAATTTGACCCCCACTTCACATTATAGATAAAAATCAGTTTCAGTGGAATTGCTCTAAATGTGTAAGGTAAAACAATAAAACTATTTGAAGATAATATAGGAGTATTTCTTCATTATTTTGGGGGTAAGGAAGGATTTCTTTAAACAAGACATGAAAAGCATGTATTACAAAAGGAAAGATCAATAAATTTGTATTAAAATTAAGAACTTCTGTTTATTAAAAAAAAAAAAAAAAACCATCATCAAGAAACTGAAAAAACAAGCATAGAATGTGAGAAGATATATGACTGACCAAAGTCTCTTATTTAGAGTATACAAGGGATTTCATCAGTAAGATAAATATTGACAACCAGATAGAAAATAGTTTGTCACAAAAGAGGATATCCAAATAACCGATAAACAGAGGAAGAGGTGCTGGATGGCTTTATTCATTAGGGAAGTGCAAATTAAAATGACAATGAAATACTGCGATAGACTGAGCAGAATGGTCAAAAACTAAACAACCGATAATGCCAAATATTGATGAGGATGTGGAACAGCTCGCAGACCTCTCTCAGACGTAGACCTTTCATGCGCTGCTGGTGGGCTTAGAAACTGGTAGAACCACTTTGGAAAACAGTTTGGCATTATCTACTAAAATAGAATACAGTAGTCCCCTCTTATCTGCAGTTTTGCTTTCCACGGTTTCAGTTACCTGTGGTCAACTGTGGTTAGAAAGGAGGTGTATACAGACAGAACAAAAAATATTTTGAGGGCCGAGTCCGTGGCGCACTCGGGAGAGTGCGGTGCTGGGAACGCAGCAGCGCTCCTGCCGCGGGTTCAGATCCTATATAGGGATGGCCGGTGCGCTCACTGGCTGAGCGCGGTGCAGCCGGTCTCAAAAAGGACAAAAAAAAAAAAATATTTTGAGAGAGACCACATTCACATAACTTTTATAACAGTATATTGTTATTATTGTTCTTGTTTATTAGTTATTGTTGTTAATTTCTTACTGTGCCTAATTTTATAAATTAAACTTTATCTTAGATATGTATGTGTGCATATAGGAAAAAACAAGGTATATGTAGTGTTTAGCACTATCTGCAGTTTCAAGCATTAACTGTGGGTCTTAAAATGTATCCCTGTGGATAAGGGGGGACTACTATATATACATTTCTACTCTTAGCTATCTACTCATCAGAAATGCATACATAGTGGACCCAGATTCATGTACCAGAATGTTTATGACAACGTTTTTGTAATCACTTGAAAACTAAAAGCAACCAAAATAGATATCAACATTATGTGATAATTCATGCAAAGGAATATTATAAGCAATAACAAAGAATGAATTATAACTACCTACAACAACGAATGAACTTACAATGTTAAGC